TGTATGGAGAGTCAAATGGGCAAAAACCAGCCTATGTAAACTTTCCAATAGAAAGGTACTTGCAGCTGTTTACTCTATGGAAGACTGGAATTGGGCCAGTGTCACGTGCATAGAGGGCAAGATTGCAATCCACATCCCATCAGAGCTAAAAAAAAGCAGAAGGCCCACATGATGTGTCTCTGCATGATTTCAGATTTCAGGTGGGGGATTGAAATCATGTCAAGGCAGTTGCAGAGGAAGGGGGCGGTTCACTCCGGGTGCCATCTATGAGGGGGGTGACAAGAAGGCATCCCACCACTGCGAGTGGAGAACCGTGTCGCTGCAAGTGGTGGATCCCTCCACCGCCACTGCAGCCATGAGCAGAGGATCCCACTGCCATCCGTACGGCGCTAGAGCAGCAGTATCAGTGCCGCGTATGCAATGTATGTAGCAGCGCTGGTTTGCCCTTCCCCTTGACACCCTGCTCCGGGTGCCAGAGAGCCTTCCTTCACCCCTGGTCAAGGCCCCACATAAAATGCTCCCTAGAGCATGTTAGGTGAAAAACTAGCCTACAGTTCTGCTTCTTGATGTGCTGATTTTGTAGCTGATGAGACTATTTTATATGGTGAAGCAGTGAGATCTTTGTGTATCCACTCCATGCTGTCTGGAATAGTACAGCACAGGAACAGGGTCATCACGTGTGGTTTCAATAGAAATCAAATATTTGCAACGAAACTAAGGGAACTGGACATCATCTAGTTCAGTGTATGGTAATGTTCATACAGCAGTAGTCAAAATTCACATTATTTATTTTTAAACGCCATACGACAAAGAGCAGAATAAACCATTCAAAGTTTTGTTGAGAAACCTTAGGGCAGGAGAAGCCAAAGACAAGCAACAAAACACCCTCCCCCCTCTCCCCCCACTCCACAAGGGACTAGGGGAGAAATTAGATTCACTTCTTCATTTAGGGTTTCTGAAATTATACGCAAACCAAAGCACAGCCACCCTTCAAAATTCACACTTCTCTGCTCTCAGTTCTCTACTGCAGACTTGTCCCACTTCCAAGAGACTGTGGTCTACTCCCACTATAAAAAACAAACTGGTGGTGATATCTACCCACTTGATTGACCAAGTTGTTCAGCTTTTTTTTTTGTTTTTGAAGGGAGGTGGGAGGGGTCCCACGATCTACTGCGATCTACCACAGGCATCCCGCGATCTACCAGTAGATCACAATCTACCTGTTGGTCATCCCTGCTCTACTGCAGATACTGGGGTAAAGATGCATATGTTGTAGGTAATAACATACAGAAATGGATTCTATGAGGGTAAAGTGCTCTACAAAAATGTATATATTAGGCAAAAGTGCACACAAACACATGCATATTCGGAGAAATTTGGACTAAAAAAATATTCACAGACTGATGCGGAAATGTGGCGAACTGTACTTGGAAGAGAGAGCAATCGAGAGAACCCAAAATGGACAGATCCATCCGCCCCTAACCTCCACACACATTCCTCCTCTTCCTTAGCTGGCTGAGCACTATTGGCTAGACAAGTGGCAGCATGGTTGGAAATGAGTTTTTCGCCCTTCCCCCCCAACTGCTGCCTTGGCACACTAGTGTGCTGAAACACAATGTATCCACACACTCAGGCCTGGTGATCCTTGGAAATGGAGTCCTTTTGAGGTCTACAGCAGTGGCATTGCATGAGTCACTTGGTCCATTGTGCACACTGACACATCCAATGTCAGGCAGTCATTAAGCCCAGGATGCCAGGTGAGATGCTCAAGAGCATTCCTCTCTCTCGGCCTGCCACTGCAGCTCCACAAATCCCTGCCAGACTTGTGAGGAAGCTGGATAAAGAGATGACTAGCAGCCTTACAGGGGAGGTGGGGAAGGCATTTGGGGAGTCATTGATTGGCATGGAGGGTGCTTTGAAAAACGCAGGCTGCTGCACATGCTTTCAGTTGGGAATTAAAAGATCACATTTTGTTTGAGCTGGATCCTCTGAGCGTGGCACAGAAGTCGAACTTCTCCAGCATCCCTACTGCTTGGCCACTGATGATGCAGGGCCACAACCAGAAGAAATCTTTTTCACATATTTACCAGCTCATGCCATATTCTGCACCTAGTATTTTGCTTCGAGGTGAAAGGAGGCTTTGTCTGGTGCCAGAAGAAAAAGAGCTCACTGCACAGAAACAGGGGACTGGGCTGGCTTCTCACATATGAGCTGCCGTCTATTGTTTTCACCATGTAATGGTTTCACCAAGCATCATGTAATGCTTACTAAACAACACGGTACCTGCTATACTTTTTATATATGCTGGAAGCCACCCAGAGAGGCTGGGGCAACCCAGTCAGATGGGCAGAGTACAAATAAATTATTATTATTATTATTATTATTATTATTATTATTATTATTATTATCTTGCTTTGCATATGTGAACTGTTCACTTGATCAGGCAAAAGGCTTTTTGAAGCAACTTTTTGATAACTATGATATTCTCTCATTGATATAATTAGCACCGTCTTCTGAATCTACAGAGCCAGATTTTCAACAGAATAGGATAAAATGCTGTATCATCATTGATTTTGGATGCCCCGATTCCCCCCTCTCCCCATCTCTTCATTTTAACTCTCCTCAGCTGGGAACATGTTCAGCCTGCCTTAATGAAAGCAGCATATTAACTCGGCATCAAAAATTAATTATTTCAAGCTGGCGTCTTAGGATGAGTAGAGCAAATCCCAAACACCAGGAGGAGCCAGAGAAGTTTCACAAGCTTTTAGCGCCGCACGTTCGCTCTCCCCCCTTCTTGGCGAGGGAGAGAGAGAGAGGGGAAAGTAATGACAATAGCAAAAGCGGCCTGCGCAAAATTGATTTCCCTAAACTGGGGCATATGTGGATTAGAGCTAGCCTGAGGTAGCAGAGTCATTTCTGTCAAGCAGGGGATGGCAAGATTATCACTAACCTGAAAGGACAGCTCAGTAGGAGCTGCCAATTACATGTAATGTATGGTGTGTGGGTTTTTCCTTTAATTGGGGAATCGCTTAAAAAAAAAAAGACAACAGAGAAATCATAGGAATGAGTAGTGAACATCATATCCCCTTCAACAATCTATGGGAGAGAGTTCTGCAGGAGACTGTGGGTAGGGAGAGGAACTTGATAGATATTTCTTTGTACACCAAAGCCTCATTAAAACTGATCCCCTGGTTTTGTTTTGAGGTTTATTACACAACACACAATTTCAGAATTGCTGTATCAGGAATTCTTATAAGCTTCAAAGAAGTGGGGGGAGGGGGGCACCTTTATTCACTCCTCAGCCCCACACAGGTGCGATATATTCTCATTGCTTTTATGAGATTGAGTCAGCTGACAAGGAATGAGGATAAAATCACTCTCTTTTCTTCTATTTAAGAAAAGCAGCAACGTGTCTTTTATTGATTATGTTTTCATAGAAATGGTCCCTTGGAATATAGAAAGCATCCTTCATGCCATTTCCAGTTCTGCTGGCAAAAATAATAATATTGGCATATGAGTTTGAAAGCCCTGAAACTGATCACTGTGTAGAATCCCCCTGTGCTCTCTCTCTCACACACATAGACACTTCCACAATATAGCTTTATTGTCTAATGCCCCTGACTAAGCTGTGTGCACAGAGCAATATATTTTGTTAATCAAGAGTAACAGTTACTCCAGTGTTTGGGCTCTAAAGGTATAGGGCATGGGAGACCCAGGTTGAAACCCCACTGGAGTCACTACCTCAGCCTAACCTACCTCACAGGGTTGTTGTGAGGAAGACGAATGGGGGGGAAACCATATATACAATTTTCAGGTCACATATAAATAAACACGAATGTTATATGTTATCTATGCAAATATACTGTATACAACAGACCATGTGGCATTTCCCTTATTTACCAAACTGATTCACTGTTATATAGTGTGGCAGATCCCCTAAATAGATGTGTGGCAGGAGCCAAAATGGTGGACAGGCTTATATAATACTTGCAGAATTATACCTTGTTTGTACAGCGCCTCTTTGCACACTTCTGGTTACATGGTAAACCAATGGGACAGGAAAACAGAGAGAGCAGAGCAGTAGTTCCTTTCTGTGAATGCCATCATTTTACATGAGGCTGGTTTATTTGCGAAGAAAAGAATTGTTGTTTAGAGAAGGGTAACATTAACCTGTATCATCATTATTAAATCATGTAAAATGGCCCAGTTTCTTCCATTCTTGAAACAGGTACCTGAGTTTCCCTATCATGCACACCCACAACCCTCTGATAGCTTCATTTTTTTTTACTTTTTTATTTTTAAGACATGAGGAACAGGCAACAGAGCAATGACAAGGGCTGCCCTGTAGCCTTTATATCCTGTATTGATTGTACTCTCTTCTGGGTTATCCTTTGGAGCTCATGGGCTAAGATGGGGAACCTGTGGCCCACCAGGACTCCAGCTCTCATCAGTTCCAGTGAACATGACCAATTGTCAGGGATGAAGGGAATTAAAATCCAGCAACATTTGGAGAGCCTCAGGTTCCCTGTCCTCACATAAGCTTCTAAACAATGTCAGCACCACCTACATGTAGAAAACGCAATGGTGTGGAAGAGAAAGACTTCCTCTTGGGTTGAACCCATGAACAGAACCCAGCAGGAAGTCTGGAACCTGCTCATGGAAAGACCATCCTTGGGGAAAGCTGTAAAGTTACACGGAGTGCCAACGCTAATGTAATTTTCCCATGAGTATGTGCCTACCGCAGGATCCATTCAAAAAGTTACCCTCGCAAGTAATGAACATTATGTCAGAATCATCCCTCTGTGTCACACAAAGGAGGAAATGCACTCCCAGAATAGGAAATGCAATGATGAGCTATAGCTGCCTTCACAGGAATTATGAGGAGCAATTTGAATTCAAGTGCCTTTTCCGCCGGTTACAAATCACTGCAGAGTGTTATTCACCATAATGCTGTCCAAACATCATTTTATTTATTGATGTTTATTGCTTCTCTTTTGCAGAGTGATGAGGTTTTGACTGTCATCAAAGCAAAAGCACAATGGCCTGCCTGGCAACCGCTAAACATGTAAGTAGGCAGGGAATTAAACCTCCCAAAAGATTTCCTTCTCTGCTGTCCTCTGACAGAATGCTCTGAATGTCTTGCCTTCCACCAAAGTTTATCTCTTTCAAAGAGGAACAGAAAAAATCCAGTTGATTAATGAGTTTCTTTTTTTATACCATTATGTCTCTTTCCATTTATCTCTCTAACAAGGGTATGTGTGTGTGTGTTTTACTTTGTTTTACTTACCAGGCACTATGGACATATACAGTATTTGAATCCTCATGTGCTCTCCCTGTTCTGAGCAGTGAGGATATAGCTGCACTATAGACTAATATGCCAGTCATATGCATGCTTACTTTGAAGCAAATCCAAATGAGTTCAATGGAACATGTTCCCATATAAATGTGTAGAGAAATACAGCCATAAAATAGGTTAACAAAGGCAGCCTTTGTCTATTTTAAAGCAAAAAACCAAAAACATAGGCAGCCTTGGGAAATCCAAATCTGTGAAGATTGTGGAATCTCCAACAGGAAATTACTAGTTTCCTTAAAATTCCCATTTTTTTTGGTGGGGGGGTCCAAGTTAATTTGTGACATAACAGATTGTGTTTAAATGCAAGCTTGTGTTTTAGAATATGACCGATTCTGGAGGGATAATAATAATAGACTCTGACAACATTACAAAAAGTGATAGAGCAACAAATATCCACCAGTTGCCCCATCAGCTCTCCACATCAAAGATTCCCCTGGCTACTTTTATTCTGTATACTCCTTTTATACTTCAGAACCACTGGATCTAACTCTCTGAAGCTTCCTTGGGTGGTTGAGTGAGTGGAGAACTATTCTTTCGGATATGGAAGAAAACTTTGGTCAATTCAAACATGAACACAGCTTTAATTAATGAACATATGAAATAGTCATACTGTGCCTTAGTGTGCAACCCTCTCTTCTTTTTTCCCTAGTCTTCATTTCCTGAAAAAGCCACCTCCTTTTGAAATATCAAACACACTTTCCAGAGTATAACCCTAGAAAGGACACTACAGGGTTAGGCCCCATTCTTACATGACTGGTACATTTCCTAATGTACTAATCTTCTAGCACATTTTCATCTCCTTCCTTTCGTCACAAAATATGTTGCTTTATTCCACAGTCTTCCTCTAGTCTCATGAGATTTGATTGGCTGTGTCTTTCATGCAGTTTTCTTTTCCAAACTGGCACATTTCTAATGCTTTTTCATCAACGCACACAGCGATTCAAGGCTTATGCTTGATTTGGTCAGCTGTGGGGCATGTGTACTTTGGCATTCATGCTCCCAAGGCTTTTGCCTAAACTGTACAGCATCCCCCCCCCCCACACACACACCTTAAATTGTTCTGTGGACCAGTGGAAAATTGCCTTTTCTAAGCTTGTCATTCCAATGTTTTTCTAAAACAGCATTTAAAATAATAATAATAATAATAATGGAAAATCCAATCACAACCCCTCTGGTCTTATTTACTAGGATGTTTTAGCAGTGAATAATTTTAAAAGAATGCATCTCTAACCTTTTACTCACACACCTATTTAAACATTTCCTAAGCGTATTAGCTCATTCTTATGCTTTTGACACCCTTGATGTTTATAGAATTACTTACTTCAATTGCCATGTAATTACATTTCGTATCAGTGCAAACAATGTCCAACAAGAAATGATCCAAATTTTAGTCATTTAAAATGTTATACCAAGTTTTACTCACTACAGTCAGGACATATCTACATATTGCTCATTTTGGGAATTGGATGCCCTCACAAAGCAGATCTTATCTCTGACAGTCCTCACACACAGAGGGCCTTCACAACCACAACTGCAAATCCACAGGGGCTCAACCTGCTTTGAGTACAACCAGCTTTCTGTTTTGGCAAAATGTAGATGCCCATCTCATGACAGTAGTACCCTGTGGTACCCAAGTGGCTATATGTCGTGTCTGGAAAGTGTCCTATTCCTCCCCCTTGTTTATGTCTAGATTAGATAATCCCTTTCAAAATGTCTGCTCAGGACTAAATTTCCAAATGTGGTTGTTGAGAATGGGAAAGGGAGGAGAATTTCAAATTGCTGGAGGAGAATTTCAAAGGCTGTGCAAAATGTGCACGCTCTAATCCTTCTTAAATCTACAAAACTCTGGGTTATCTTTCTATATGTACCCATTGGCCCCGATCCAGACATTTACACAGGAACAGCAAGCGGTTGTAGATCCGCTGCTGTAGTTGTGGGTAAACACAGCTTAGTGCACAAGGTTGACTTAGGAGATTCCATATAAGGCAAGGCATGGAGTTACTAGGGTTGCTTAAAGCACCTCCAATTTGGTTCAGGGCCCAATTTGGTGATCTTGATCAGGTCTCAATCTGACCAGAACTAAACCAAAAACTCTTGCCTGCATTGACTCCTCCCCCTCCCTCCAATGCATGTTTATGTCATGGAATTCTACTCAAAATTGATCCAGAGCAGATTCCAGCATATAGTTAGCAGAGTAAAAACTTAAACACATTACAGGATTTCCAAAAAATAGGCCAGAGGCAATTAATATTTCATCCAGCAGAACTTTACTGCTACTGAAGGCAAATGGGCATAATGGTTACAAATCCAATATATTCAGGATTGGCACCGTCCATAAGAAATCCAGTTGCAGCAGACTTAACTTAAACTTACAATAACTTAAAATAAGTCTAAACCTAACACTAAGAATACTATGTACAGAACATCACACCAGAAGGAAAATAGATTGAAAGTGAAACCCAGGTCCTTCTGGCCTCTTATTATCGTCAGCATGACCTTGAAGAAGAGATGACAGAACCAGTTTAAGCCAGTTGTACTCAGCTTCTCTGAAGGAGTAACCCAAACATCATGAACCTTCTGCTTGTTTCTTTCACACAGAGAAAATTCCAGAACCCTCTTGAATTAATTAGAATAGGAAAGATGTCTACACATCAGACCAATACTTTCTTCACTAAGAAATGCAAACTGACAGTTTAATCCAGGTCTAAACTTGTGGTTGGCAGCAAGGAGAGGGTGGAAGAAGGAGACATGCAGGCAGAGACTTTCACCAGCATCGTCTTCTTCTCCCCTTCTCTCCTTGCCTCCTGAGCACATCCCTTTTTGACAGCCACAGAGCTTCTCTAGACAGACCCAACCAAGAATGATCCAGGGCTGCCTTGACCTAGTCTGGACAAATCCCAGATCTGAGTAGAATGCAGGATTTGTCTTGACCAGATGTGCAGACCTGTTCATTAACCTATTTCCATGTGTGGTCTTGTTTCCCCACTCCTGTACAATAGGCTTCTACACACCTGTCTCAGGAGATCCATCTGCTTGTAGAAATCTCATTTATGTGCCCAGGTGCCACACCACCCACCACCCCATCTTGTAAAATAACCAGTCAAAACTCATTACAAGAAACAAATCAGGCCACAACCTTCATTGATTACAGATGGAAGAGGTTTGGCATACGCATTGGGTATAACCATTGACTTGCCAGAAGTAATCCATTTTAGAAGCGGGGGAGGCCTATGACATACATCAAATAGGTCGGAGGCAGGCTGTCTTATATTCCCCAGGAGTGGACCCAAGTGAAGCTCACAAGCTCAGTTCGGCGTCTCCCCCACAGGCCAGCCCCATAGCCTGCCCGCAGTTGGCCAATTTGCAGGTAGGCTTGTATCCACAGCCCTGGATTGTGGTGGGCAAGGCGATGCCAGCTTGCAATGTCACCACACCAAAGATAGTAAGTGGACATCTGCAAACTTTGCTAGGAAAAATTATTGTATTTCAGTATATGCAGCTGTGCTTCCAGCTGTCTAAAGAACAGGGAACTTTACCAATGATTATAATTTCTACACTCAACTTTTCCATTTTGCCTTAGATGATTTAGCAATGATTAAAATGTTGCCTCTGGATAAAATAAAATTAGTCCATTATTATGCATAACATGACAAACTAGTTGTGGCAATATGGGTTGCTAATTTTCCACTGACTAATATGTATGGATAATGTTCTTAAGAGTAATCACTAAGCCTGCACCAGGAAACAGATTTGCCAAAGCATGGTTTTGCACAATATATAACTGTGTCATAATGGATCACTATACATTCAGCAAGATATTACTGCCTGGGAATTAGGCTGGATTGTGATGCATAAAATATTTTCACCCGCTGTTTGTAGTCTCCAGTGATCATAAAGTTACACTACAGTTGTCAAAAGAAATTGCTGCCCTAATATTTCAGTTTTTAAGATATCACTGTTCAGAATAAGGAAACATTTTCTCATGTGATGAAATATGACTAATAATTGTTCCAGTAGTTATCATTGAAGTGTCAGTGTTTGCCTGAAGTTAAACTTGTCACTGGTGTCTGGAAAACTGTGAATGCATTGCTGGATTTTTTAATACGTTGCTTAAAGATTATAAGCATCATCTGTTGTTATACATATGTCATCATTCTAAAAAGGTTATTACGCTTGTCACTCCTAACATTTTTTAAAAAAATAATAATAATGCAGCAGTGGTGTAAATCTGCATTGGGAACAGTGGTAACTAATCTGACATATGGGAACAAATATGGCTGATTAACCCATTTTTATTTTGCACAAGTTGAACTGAACTGAATGACAAAAAGCACAAAATCCTGATGATCACATACAGCAGAGTCATCTACTGTTGCTACATATCATAAACAGAAAGAGGTTGCTATCCAGAGGGTCTTCAACATTAAAAAAGAAAAGTGGCATTTCTCTGTTCAAAGATTGCAAGCCTTGCACAAAGAATTGTCCAGTTTGAGATGTAGCGTCTCTTATTTAAACTCTTTTGGCTTCCTTTGACACTCCAGTCATTTCATCCGAGGAGAAACTTTCAAGTTTGCTTAAGGCAAAAACTCTGGATGACCTAGGGTTGTAACTTGCAAAGAACACCATGAGAAATTTAACTAGTTTTACTGAAACTTTCTTTGGCATCTGTCAGGGAACTGCCATCGGAAGGACAGGAGGTGGAAAGGCTCACT